GGGAGCAGCTCCCAGCCACCAGAGCTGCCCCTGTGGGTGCTGCTGAGTCCCCTGGAATGGGAATGTAGGTGAGGAGCCCTTCTCCACAGCCCTAAGAACCCAGGCTGGCTCCATCTCTGAAGTGACCAGAGGTCTTCTCATCTTGGAATTTCTCAAAAAAACTGTGTGGCTGTGGTTGTTGTTCCTTTCAGGACTAACCAGGGCAGCCAGGTCTCTGCAGGACCTTTTGGGAAAGGCTGGTGTGGCTTCTCAACATTTTATGTCACCCTTCATGTGCCTGGAGGTCCCAGTTCATCATCATGAGGCTGTTGCAGGTTCCAGGCAGGATCCATCTGCAGGAAAGGCTGGCAGGGTTCAGCTCTGCCTGTTCCCTGGCTGCCATCACTGCTGGGTGTCACAGGAGCACCCAGACCCGGGTTAGATTCAGGGACTGGGGCCACAGGCAGCTGAGTCACCCAGGCAGGAGCATTTCCTGCTCCTCAGTGCTCCAGCTCTCCTCTACCCTTTTTTAAACAATTTTACCATCTCCAGTACAAGTTCCAACAGAGGGGCTTGTTCATGGTGCTCCATCCAGGAGATCCTGATGGCAGCTCACTCCATGACCCCAGGGCACAGGGGACCTGGCCAACACAGTGCTGAGAACCAAATGTCCTGGTGGCAATGTCACACACGTGCCAGGACAGTGGGACAATGGCCAACACATGCTGAATACCAAATCACCTCCTCTGTCCTGGTGGCAATGTCACACACGTGCCAGGACAGTGGGACAGGCTGGTGCTGCTCCCCACAGCCTGGCTCTGTGTCCTGCCCAGGGTGCCACAGCCAGGAGCTGCTCCATCAGTGTCACAGCCCCCACTGGGGGACAGCTGGGGCCAGCAGGTGACCCCTGAGCTGGGAAACCTCTGCAGCTGGTTCTTCTTGTACAGAGAGGTTGGGTTTTGCAGCCAGCACTTCGTGCTGCAGGGGAAAGGAGAAGGGTGGTGGTGCAGATGATTCAGTGCTGCTGTCCATGGTTTGTGCTGGGGACACTGACCCAGCTGCACCCAGAGGCTCAGAGGAGGGCCTGGCTGCTTTGCCCTCCCTTGGTTGCCATGTCCCTGTCCTTATGCCACCAGGGCTGTCATCACCATCAAGTCCCCCCCTGGTCTGGACTCTCTGGGACCACTTGAGTCTTCACCAAGACATTGCACCTGCTGGACCTTCCCTGTCACCCCAGATGTCCCCATTTCCTTAGCAGGACCCCTGGGTGTGAGCAGCCCATGGGACCTGCCTTTCCAATCCCACAGGCTGCTCAGGGCTGGTTTGAGGGGTGGGAGCCCCACCAGGAGTGCCCAGAGGTGACATTTAGCTGCCATTCAGGTTGGAGGGATTGTTGGCTCCAGGCCTGGGCTCTATGGCAACAGGAACCTGAGAAGCAGAGTGGAGACAGTTGCCATCTGAAATAACATATTTGAGAGAGTTTAGAAGGAAGAGTTTGTAAGACATACCACTTTTTTTTCTAATTTATAACCTTTTTATGGGACTGCTTTCCAACAAGGATCATCAACATGTCAGATAAATAACAAAATTCACAGTTCTGGTACTTGCTCATCATTTATTTGATCCTGGTTAACATTTATTCATTTTGTGGTACTGAGATATTTTATTTGTGACATCAAACAACAGGAGATGGAGATGCAGAGGGTTTCCTTCAGAGCTCACAGGTGACAGATCTCTGTCTGCTGTGCCCAAGTCCTGCTCAGGTGTGTCATAGAATGAGAAAATCTCCTGAGGTGGAAGGGACCCAGCAAGGATCATCCAGTGCCTGCACAGACCCCCAACAACCCCACCCTGGGAGCAGTGTCCAAACCCTCCTGGAGCTCTGGCAGCCTCAGGGCTGTGCCCGTTCCCTGGGGAGCCTGGGCAGTGCCCAGCACCTCTGGGGGAAGAACCTTTCCCTAAAATCCAACCCAAACCTCTGTTCTGACAGAGGGCTGGCAGCTGCAGGAACTCTCCAGTCACTCCAACACATCTCAGGAGTGAGAAGAAGTACAGTGGAGAGGGCTTTGTCAGCAGGATTAGTTAAGTCCCCATTCTTAGAATTCTTATACATCAGTGTGGTTTTCAGGCATCCTTCCTTTACCAGTGTGGAGGAGGCTGAGCTCAGAGTAGGTCACCAGGATGTGAAGTGGTGCAAGCCCCACTGAATGCAGCCACAAAGCAAGAAAGTGCCACGTAAGCACAGGCTGAGGAAGCACCACACAGATTCTGAAGAAATGGTTATCAGGGATCACTTGAAACTCAAAACAGCTGAAAGGGAAGCCAAGCAAAATTTGCAAGTGACTGAGCTGGGAATGAAGCAGCTTTAGAAATGGAGCAGGTCCTCAAAGCAGGGAGTCCTGGCCTTGTGTTTGAGTCAAAACTTGCTCAGTGCCGTCACCTCAGTGTCAGGTTTCCCTGGTACAACTCCTCGAGGATGAAAGCAATGTAAAGCTTTTCAGCCAGGAGAGAGCAACAGATAAATTCCATCTGTCGAGGCTCTGTTTTCTGCAGGCACCAGAAAATGTCAAGGAACAATTTGTTGCCATTTGTGTGAGGTTGTTAAGCAACATGAAACTCAAATATTGTGCCCATTCAGTTGGTACTGGAGCAGCCTAATTTGAGAAAGGGAGAGAGGAACTTTTGTGTGATTCATGGGCTTGCACTGCCTGCCTGCTCAGTGATCCAGGGCACACGAGCTGTGGCTGCTGTGGGATCTGCCATGGGAAGGTCACAGCAGGCTTAGGGCTGGGTGGCATCACTCTGGATTGTCAGGGAGGTGGGGTTGTGGTGTCCCTGATGTGCAGTGCTTTGGAGAGGCTTCTCCAAGTGTCACTTGTGGCTCAGCATCTTCTGCCCACTTGCTGGTCTTGGTGAATCGTGGATGTGTGGGAAGCATCCTGGTGTTAGCCAGGGGATGGTGGGGATGGAAACCTCAGGATTTTGTGGTGCTGGGTGGATTTGGTGTGGGACTCAGTGCCAGAGTTCGTGCTGGGAAGGGGCAGACACTGAGCAACCCTTGTCCACACAAGACACCTCTGTGTGGTGTGGAGAAGAGCTGTGAGCATTTGGTCCTTCCCAATGCATTTGGGACGATTCCTGATGCATTTCCCAGTCAGAGCCCGCTGCCAAGGCAGGGGCACCGAGGTGTCACCCAGCACAGCCATGCCATGCAGGGACAGGGCTGGCTGTGGCTGTCCTGGGGGAGGCTCCTGCTCGCTCCTGCCCTGCCTCAGGTGTGTTCTGTTCACTTTGTCCCTCAGGCTGGACTTCAACGGGTTCTACACGGAGCGCCTGGAGCGCATGTCGGCCGAGCGCAGCCGGAGAGCGCCGCCGCTGCTGCCCCGCCTGGCCCAGTGAGCCTCAGCCCATGCACGGGGCAGCCTCCCTCTGCTGGGAGGTCTGTAATGTCTGTAATGCTTCAGGCTTTTGTTGCCTTTTTTTTTTTTTTTTTTTTTTGTTTTTGTTTTTGTTTTTGTCTGTAATGCTTCAGGCTTTTGTTGGCTTTTTTTTGTTTGTTTGTTTTTGTTTTTGTTTTTGTTTTTTTTGTTTTTTACTGTGTTGTACAATGATGTGTTTGTGTGTTGTAAAATAAATTAAATGACAACGACAAAAAATATCAGGGTTGTTTTGTCTGCTAACAGAACTTAGGGTGCAAATTATTGGGGATGCTCCATCCCTGGAAGTGTCCGAGGACAGGGCTTGGAGCCTTGGAGCAAGCTGGGATAGTGGAAGGTGTCCCTGCCCATGCCATGGGATGACCTTTAAGTCCTTTCCACCCCCAAGCCTGAAGCAGAGGAGTTCCAGGGAATCTAAACATTGCCTGAGGCACTTTGAGAGTAGATACATAGAGGAAGAGAAATGTCTCTGAGGAACAAGGGGTAACCAAGGCCAGGGACACAGAGGCCTTGGGGGCAGGAGAGGGAACCTGGGCACGTGTGAGAGGGCTGTGGGCACAGGACTGAGTGCTCCTGCCCTTCCTCTCCCTCACTTCTCCTTTGCAGGAGCTCACTGGAGGGAAGAGCCAGGTTCTGTGTGCTCCATGGCCTACAGCTGCTCCTCCAGCTCTCCAGAGGGAGAGAGACCCCAGGAGAGGGTGGGGACCACCAGCAAGCACTGAGTCCCACTAGAAGTCATGGAGAGTTCATTTTTTAAATCAACAGCAAACTTCTGAGCACCCGTGGATGACTAATCCCAAATCCGTTCACACCCACGTGCCTGTGACCATTTCCATTTCCATTTCCTGGTTGGTCCTGGCCTGAAACACCCAGAAATACAAACGTGCCTGGCTTATCTGCCTTGATATCCCAGCTCCAGTGCTTCCTGTGACAGTCCAGCCCCCACAGTGCCCCTGCAGAGCCCCAGGATGTCCCACCAGGCCGGGGGACACCTTCATGCCCCCAAGGCCATACACACAGTCCCCAGTGCCACCTGGACCATCCCTCCACCCCAGTGTCCTGTGGGCATCCTCCACCACCCCACTGAGCCAGCACCCCAGGGACCCTCCCCAGAGCCTGACAGCCAGCCACGATCCCCCACAGAGCACTCCTGGACTGTCCCCAGTGTCCCACGGGCACCCTCTGGTGTCCTGCAAACCTCCCCTGATGCCCTGTGCACCCCAGGGACCATCCCCTGATGCCCTGTGCCCCCTGCCCAATGCCCAGGACCCTCCAGGTGCCCCACGGCAGCTCCCAGTGCCCCGTGGTCCCTCCCCCGATGCCCCGTGTCCCCTGCCCGATGCCCCAGGACCCTCCTCAGTGCCCCGTGGACAGTCCCCAGTGCCCCACGGACCCCCCTGATGCCCCACGGACCGCCCCCCGATGCCCCCAGCTGCTCCAGTGGCCCGTGGACCCTCCCCAGTGCCCCCTCCCCAGTGTCCCCCGTCCCCTCCATGTGTCCCTGTGTCCCCTTCTCCATTCCCCCGGACCCCCGTGGTTGCCCGGGGACAGCCCCCCGTGCCCCGCGGCTCGCAGAGCCCCGTGATGCCCGCACCGCCCTCCCTCCAATTCCCCGTGGGCAGTCCCCGTTTCCCCACGGACGCCGCCCGCCGATCCCCCTCGTTCCCTCCCCGGTGCCCCGTGTCCCCTGGCCGGTCCCGCCGCCCGGAGCCCCGTTCCCGTTCCCGGCGTGCCCGTTCCCCGCTCCGGGGGCGGCCCGTCCCGCCGGTCCCGCCCCGCCCGGTCCCGTCGCCGGCCCGCGGTGAGCCGGGGTCCCGGGCGGGCGCTCCGCGGGGCGGGGGTGGCGGCACGGCCCGGGGATGCTCGCGGGGATGCTTTCCCCCCGCGGGTCTCGGGGGGCAGCTCGGTTGTCGCCTCCCGAGGGAGGGTGATGGGGAAGGGACGCCCGGGGCCGGGCTCGCTCCCACGGGGATGCTGCCGGTGCCTCGGGAAGGAGAGAGGAGGGGGACAAGCGATGGCTCAGCCGGGGAGGTGGTCCGGGACTCATCCGCCCCGTCCCAGCCCGTCCCGGAGCTCCCGGGAAAAGCCAAGCGTTTATGGCAGGAATTCTCCGCTCCGACATCCGAGGAAGGCTGGGAGGGGGCTGAGCCAGCCAGGCACCAGCCGCTCTCCCCGGCAGCCCCCACAGCCGCCAGACGCCGAGTCACACGCGGTGCCATCGCCGTGGGGAGCTGCAAAACCTCTCCGTGCAGCAGGGGCGCGGGGGGTCTGGCCCCAGAGGGACTTGCTCGCTCCCAGGGGATGCTGAGCGCTCCGTATTGGCCGGGCTGGGGCGGCTGCGGCTCCCGGAGCCCGCCGGGGAGCTCCGTTCCCAGCCGGTACCTCGGGATTAGCTCCTCGGGCTCGTCCCGGCTCCTTCACGTCGGCTGCTCTCGCTGTGCCGACGGGGAGGGGGGGTTTGGGGTGGGTATCAGGGAAAGGTTCTTCCCCCAGGGAATGGGCACGGCCCCGAGGCTGCCGGAGCTCCAGGAGAGCTTGGACCCCGCTCCAGGGATGCCCAGCCCAGGGTGGGGTTGTCGGGGGTCTGTGCGGGGCCGGGAGCTGGATCCATGATCCCTGTGGCAGCTCGGGATGCTCTGTGACTCGGTTGCTCCCGGGTACGTGTCTCAAAGCTCTCGGTTCCGCAGGCTCCCCGGCCGGGCTGGAGCAGAAGCTGCCGCACGTGGAGAGCTACGAGACGGTGCTGCCGCGGGAGCTGCCGGTGCCCCGGGCCAAGCGGGAGCTCTCCGCCCCTCCGGTGAGTCCCAGCTCGGCACAGCCGCCCTCGCCGCTTCCCTGGGATCTGCCGGGGGATGCACCCAGCAGGGATCCTGCCCCAGCACCGGGCTCAGAGCGGGACCCCCGCACCAGACCCCTCAGCCCCGCACCAAAAGAGCGACGTGCCGCCCATTCCTTGCCTTGCTGCCACCCCAGAGGATGGAGATGCTGGAGCAGTTGATCAGATCAGCTTTTCTGGCTGGTTTGGGGCTAATTAGGAGCTGCAGACAGCGGGGTGCACTCCTGGGGAGTGGGGCTGCTTTCTCCAGTGCTTTTTTTGGAACCGTGACCCAGCGGTGCCACCTCTCGCAGCCCTGCCGTGATCTTGTGACATCTGGTCTTTCCTTAAGGAGGGGTTTGCAGAGCCTCGTGGAGCTGTAAGCACTTTTCTTGCTGTGTTTGCTGAAGTTGGGGCTTTTTTTGTCCTTTGGGACGGAGAAATAAGAATCAGAAAGTTGCAGAAATCCACATGAAAGCAAACCAGGGCTGTTTTTCTTGGGAAACCTGGCAATTTGGGGGAAGGAATGGGGTTTGAGTCAGGAGTTTGGAGTGCTTGATGTTGACGTCCATAGGATGCCTTGACCTCAAAGTCACTTTCCTCATTGCCTTACAGTGAAATTCAGCCAATTTTTTTTTTTTAATTCCTTTTCTAGCCCCAAAAAGCGCCAATTTTAGCGCCTGGAGGGATGGAGGGACCGGGGACACGCATTCCCTAGTGCCATACAGCACGTTCCCCTGTGATTCAAACCCTTCCTGATAAGCTAGCTTCAAAAACACTCCCCGAAAGCATCTGTTTTCCCTGCTCTAGAAACCTAAACTTGTCCACGAGACAAACATTCCCCGGGCTATTTAGAGACGCCATCTGTGCCGGGCTCGGTGCCGATCCCGCCGGGAAGGGGAGCTCACCCACCTCGGGATCCCTCTGGAGAGGACATCTGCCCCGAGCTGGGAGCCTCGGGGCTGCCTCGGGGGCTGTCTGGTGGTGGCACCTGCATTTGGTCTTGGCTCGGGTGGTCCTTGGACATCCCAAACCTGCCTTGCTCAGGGGAGGGAGCCTCCTGCTCTCCAAGCCCTTTTTTTGCTGCCTCTTGGAGAGAGGTCATCTGGGTGGGGAAGAAGCTCTCAGCAAGGTTTGACCACCTTTGAAGAGAGGTCATCTGCCTCTTGCTCTCCTGTCCTGGTCATCTGGGTGGGGAAGAAGCTCTCAGCAAGGTTTGACCACCACCAAGCCCCTCTGGGGCAGAGATGGGTGTGCTCCTCCTGTAGCCAGGACAGCCATAGGCCACCAGGAGCTGGCTCTGGGGCTGGGACACGTGGGATTGGTCCAGCAGGTGAGGGTTGAGGCAGATCAGCTATCCTCTGGCTTTGCTTAAAAACCCAAAAGTTCATCCCTGCAGGCAGGGTGGAGCCGTGGGTCCTGCAGCACGGGATCTCCTGGGTGCCAGCCTTCCCAGGAGAGTGCCACACCCGGGCTCTCCATGGAAAGGGCTCTGGAAAAGTGTGCAAGGCCTCTTGGCTCTTCCCACCTCAGCTCAGGTGGGATGGGACATCCCGTCCCCATCCTCTCTGGGTCTCTGGGTCACTCACTGAGAGCAGCTGGAGGAAATCCCTGCTCTCCCTTCTCTTTGGTTGTGGCTCTGCTGTGCTGGCTCAGCACGGCCACGGGGCTCCAGGGCTGCTCCCAAAGCCTTCCCATCTGGAGCCCTTGCACAGCCCATGCTAATGAGGAAGGGGGTGATTCAGAGCAGCTTTATCAGGACTTTTTATTTTAAACTTGCCCTGGGGCCGTCTCGCAGAGACGCTCCCTGACCCAGCACCCCCTCCCAAGCGCTTTCCTGCCATTCCTTGAGACCTCTTCTGGCCTTGGCCTTGCCAACAATAACAAAGGATGGCTTTGTTGGCCTGCAGGGGTTGGGAGACGCTGTTCATAAGAGAAGAATTTTCCAGGGACCCACGAGCACACTGGAGCTGCACACCAGGGAGAACGGGGGCAGCTGAGTGACAGGCAAAGCCTCTCACCTGGCCCCGCTGGCACTGAGTCAGCAGGGCTTTCCGCTCAGCCTGGCTCCTTCCAGGGTGCAGATCATCCCCTGGGAATGCTGAGCCATGGCATGACAGCCAGCGCTGTCACCCTCCCCGGGAGAGGCAGCACACCTCATCCCTGAGGAATGCCGGCCCCATGGGAAAGGTTTGTGGTGCCTTCGGCTGGGCTCTCTCCACACCTGGGTTTGGCAAGGGCTGAGGATGTGCCCTCAGGAGAGGTGGATGTGCCCTCAGGAGAGGTGGATGTGCCCTCAGGGGAGGTGGATGTGCCCTCAGGGGAGGTGGATGTGCCCTCAGGGGAGGTGGATGTGCCCTCAGGGGAGGTCTCAGATCCCCCGTGGCAAGGGCACAGCCTGACACAGGACCGTGACTCCATCCCAGTGACCCCAGCAGGATGGGGCCTCCAGAGGAGGAGATGACGGGATAGCCCAGAGGGAAACACTTTTCCTGTAGGAACATCTCCATCCTGAGGGTTCAGGGCTCAGCTGGCTGAGCCACAGCCACCCTGGCTCCCTCTTACCAGGATTTGGGACACAGTGCCACTAAAATGTGCCCTGGGAGGCCGAGGAGAGCCAAGGGAAGCAGTTCCCTGAACGATGTGGCGTGTCAGATCAGGCAGGGAGGAAGAAGCCTCTGCTGACAGGAGCCACAGGGAGCTCTGTGGTTCAGCTGGTGAGTAAGTGCTGAACTCAGACCCAAAAAAGGAGCTCTGTGACTGATGAGTAGGAAACCTCAGCCCGTGGCAGGGCCATCTGCAGCCGTGTGTCAGACACGGGAAACCAGGCTCTGCTGACTCCGTCTCCTCGCGGTGACCTGTTCCTCATCTCAGGATGTGCCGGGGATTTGCCTTGCTGCCCACACGCTTTCTTCCTTCTCTTCTGGTTTCCTGTGTCTTTGCTGCGTGCCCCCAGGCTGAGCAGGGCACACACAGACCCTGCTGCCCCCTGGGCAGGACAGGGCCCCCTCTGGAGCAGCTCCGGCTGCTGCTGAGTGTCTGAGGGCACCTCTCTCTCATGCAGAGCACCTACCCAAGCCACGTCCTCTACGGCATCCGTGCTGAAGGCAGGGAGCACCTCCTGTGGCTGGAGAAGAACAGGTGAGTGCAGGTGGGCACCCCGAGCATCCCTTCTCCAAGGTGTCACTGCCCACTGACCAAAGCCTCAGCCCAGAGCACTTTATTCCCTCCCTGCCAAGCCCACCCGGGGGTGTCACAGTCCCCACACGCTCCCCCCAAAGCTGCTGATGCCCCCTGCCCACCCCGCAGGGCCCTGCTGGGGCAGCACTACACCGAGACTCACTACTCTGCCGATGGCTCGGAGATCACGGAGCAGCCGGACACCCAGGTACGGGCTGGCTGCGGGGGGAGCCGCCTTCCCACCCCGCGGGGCCCGGCAGCCCCACAGCTCTGCCCCCTCTCTCGGCAGGATCACTGCTTCTACCAGGGCCACGTGCGGGGACAGCCCGACTCGGCAGCGAGCATCAGCACCTGCGGCGGCCTCAGGTAGGGCCCCTGGAGCCCGCTCCTGGCTGGGGACAGCTGCCAGCCTCGGCACCGTGACCCGGAGTGACCGAGCCCCGGTGACCCGGAGTGACCGAGCCCCGGCCGTGCGGATGGAGTGAGAGCTCAGCTTTCCCTGCGGAAGGGAAGATGACATCCCTCTTCCTGCTGGAGGCGCTGGCCCTGGCTGGCTGCCCGGCAGGAAAGGCTCGCGGCACTTTTTGGGGGCTGACTCACGGCAGGGGGGTGAGAGTGGAGCCCTGACACCGCGGGAGCTCCAGGCAGCAGCGCCCTCGCTGGATCCATCCTTAAGGGATCGGCTGCTGGAGCCAGGGACATCCCTGCTGCCCGAAGCACTGGGTGCTCCCCGTGCCGTGGGTGCTGTGCCAGCAGCTGTATTTATACAGAATCCCAGAATGGTTTGGGATGGAAGGTCCCAGGGACACCTTCTGGCTGGAGAAGGGTTCCTAGAGCCTGGGTTCCTCCAGCCTGGCCTTGAACAGCCCCAGGGATGGAGCACCTGCCACGGGCACTGCCAGCGGTGGCTGTCGGGTCTGTCCGTGCCCTGCCTGTCCCCCAGCCTGACTCCTGCCCTCTCTCTCTCGCTCCCCAGTGGGTTTTTCCGCGTGAATGGGACCACGTTCGTGCTGGAGCCGCTGGAGGGGGCCGTGGCCGGCCGGCACGCCGTGTACCGGGCTGCTCACCTGCGGGGCAAGCGCGGCACCTGCCGGGAGCCCGGCGCCACCCTGCGCTACGACCGCGAGCCCAAAACCCCGGCAGCCATGAAGCTGCACCGCTGGGTACGGATGGTTCTGCATCGCTGCTCCCTCCTGAGCCCGCTCTGTGAAGTCCCGGGGAGGGGGGAGTGCCCTCTCCCACCAGCCGGGGGTCGGGGGTTTCCGGTGGGAGCAGGCCTTGGGATCCTGCGCTGTCAGCAGGAGCATCCTCCCTGCCAGGGGCTCTGTGGTATCCCAGCTGCAGGCTTGGGTTTTCCAGCATGCAAGCTGCAAGAAGTCTGATACCCAGCAAAACAACATCCCAGAGCTGAGCTAGGAGACCTGCTAACCTTGGAAGGTCCTCCAGGATCTACACACCCCACGGGATGTGGGTCAGCTGGTGGCTTGGCATGCTGAGCCCCACTTTCCTCTTCCCTTTCAGAAATCAGGTCCGGTACAAAAGGGTCCCCGGTACGTGGAGCTGGTGCTGGTGGCAGACAACCAGGAGGTAAAGCGGGGAGAGCTGGTGCCTGGGGGTTTGCTGTCACAGTGAGGAGCTCACAGCCACCCTGGGGATGTCTCTGTGTCCCTCCCACAGTTCAGGAAGCACAAGGACCTCCGCACCGTGCAGAACCGCATGAAGGAAATCGTGAACCACGTGGACAAGGTGAGCCCAGGCTCTGGAGCCACCCCCCAGCTCCGGTGTGGGCACAGAGGAGGTGGCACACAGCCTGGCACGGGTGGGCTGGTGGAGCTGGAGCCAGTCTCAGACCCTCAGGGGCTGCTGCAGGGTGACCACATCCCTCGGCCAGCTGCATGTGCAGTGTGGGCAGGAGTGGCCCGGCTCTGTCCATGAGGGAAATTTTGTCCTGTAACCCCTGGGAGCACTTCCCATGGCCACTCTAGGCTGGAGTGGCTGCTGACAAAGGGAGGGATGCACTGGGCCATGCTGGGTTTCCTGATGGTTTTGCTTCAGCCCCAGTGGCTGGTTAGCAGTGTGGGAGCCACATCCCAGCCTTCACCAGCCAAGAGGGAGCCCAGAGGTTTGGGGGGAAATCCTGTGTCCATGGTCACCCCAGCTTGTGTCATTTACTGAGGTCACAGAGCTGACTTTGCCCAGTGAGGAGTGTCCTGGGCTCATCTGCAGCTCCCAGGGGCAGGTGGGACCTCCCTGCTGCTGCTGCAGCCCAAATCCAGGCTCCCCCTGGGCCATGTCCCACCCCAGCTCTACCAGCCTCTTCGCCTGCGGGTGGCCCTGATTGGCCTGGAGGTGTGGAACCACAGGGACAAGATCACAGTCAGCCCCAACCCCGAGGTGACACTGGACAACTTCCTGCACTGGCGGGAGTCGGAGCTGCTGCGCAAGAAGCCCCACGACAACGCCCAGCTGATCACGTAAGGACAGGGGGGCCACCTGTCCTGGCCCTGCCACCGCCCAGGGCACGTGGCCATTGTGGCATCTCAATCCCACAGGGGTGTTGACTTCCACGGCAACACCGTGGGGCTGGCCAAGAAGCTGGTGATGTGCACCAGGGACTCGGGCGGCGTCAACCAGGTGGGTCCTGTGCCCTGCCCTCCCTGCTCCACGTCCTCCAGAGCCACCCCCTCCTCCTCTGGCCCCCAGCTGTCCCCCTCTGCAGCCTCAAGGCTGGATTTGGGCCCTGGCATCTCCGTCCCCTAAGTGACTGAGAGAAGTGGACACCCAGCTGGGTACCTGTGGTACCTTTGGTGCACCTGGAAAGCCTCCCAGAGAAGCTCCATGGACACAGGAGCTGGGATTTTAGGAGGCTATGAGGTGGCTGGGACTGGCTGTGCTCCTCATTCCTCCCAAGGAGCAGGAGAGGTTTGGCTGTGTGACCTCCCAGAGCCACCACAAAGCGTCGTTTTTGGAGCAGCCACTTTGTCTGAGCTCACTGACAGCCCTGAGAGACCAATCTGGGAGTCTTGAGGGGCCACGTCCAGCTTGTCCCTAACCTGAGCATGGCAGTGAGACACGTGGAGAAGCTGTGAGAAACCAGAAGGGCACTTAACCCCTGCTGAGCTCCTTGTCCCACAGGATCACAGCACCAACCCCATCGGCGCCGCGTCCACCTTGGCCCACGAGATGGGGCACAACCTGGGCATGTCCCACGACGAGGACGTCGCTGGCTGCCGCTGCCCTGTCCCCAAAGCTGACGGGGGCTGCGTCATGGCAGGGAGCGTTGGGTGAGTGAAGGAGGCAGGGGACATCCCTGGGCAGCAAACACACAGAGGTGTCCTCTGGCAGGGCGTCCTGATGGGGTGGAGCCAGGGAGATGGTCAGCTCTGGGTGGACAACCCACCCCACCCCACCTCACCTCACTGTTTATTGTTGTCACCGCTTTGTAATGAAGGGATGGGACTAGTTTTGGGCTAAGAACCATTTATTGCTGAGATAAACATCAGTCTCAGAGGCTGTGAGGTTTTAGAGGAGTAAGCAGTCAGCAATAGCTCGGAGCTGTCACAAATTCTTTGCTACAAGGCAATACAGAACTTTCCAACCCCATGGAGAGATCCCACAAGGTTCATTTTGCTTTTCTAACCTATAACCTTTGCTTCACTGTGCATACTTTTTCCCAGTGGGCTTCTGTCACACTTAAACACATATGCTTCTGTTGTAACTTCTAAACTCTCAATTTATTCCATACAGCCACACCTCTACATTACAAACCTTTCACCATCTCATCAATGCAGTTTCTCACTTACTTAAGGCATATTCTATACAACTATAGAACATACGTTTATTATTTTTCTGCTTAATACCTGTGTATTGTATTTTTACATCAACCCAAGCTTCTCCCAAGGCTGCAGATGAAACCCTTCCGTGTCTGTGGAAGTTTCTGTTTCTCCGATTCCCACAGCTGCAGCTGCCTGTGAGCGGGTGTCCGTCCCGCTGCCCCGGGCTCTGTGCTGACGATGGCTCCGTGCCCCTGCAGGCTGGTTTACCCCAAGCTCTTCAGCCGCTGCAGCGAGCAGGACATGTGGCAGTTCCTGGGGGACCCGCGCACCAGCTGCCTGCTGAACGCGCCGCGGGCGGACGAGCTCTACGGGGGCCCGGTGTGCGGGAACCAGTTCGTGGAGCGGGGAGAGCAGTGCGACTGCGGCACGCCCCAGGTGGGCAGGCTCTGCCGGGGGCTGGCAGAGAGGGCGGGCAGCAGGGGCCTCAGATCTGTCCAGCTCCCGGTGCTTCTGACAAGAAATAACTGGCGGGGGATATCCGTGTGTGCCCCGCCTCGTGTAGCTGGGTGTGATTTCAGCCTAGGAAAGATGGACATCCCCCCGTGTTCTCCAAAGATGTCCCACTCCAGGAGGGACATCAGGCATGCTGTTCCTCGTCCCTACCAGCATGTCACAGGGTGGGGAGGAATTGAGACAGACAGACACTGCCTTTGGGACAAATCCCTTGTCACAGCCCTGTGCTGGCACCTGAAGGAATGCTCCCCTGATCCACTGAGCACAGAAATCCTCACCTTTTCTCCTTCCTGGAGACGTGCAAAGGGAACCAGCTCAGGCTCCATCTTCTGAAAAAATCCTTTCTGGTCCTTTGGTTCGGGGTTGGTAATGGGGATAAAGAGGCAGCTGGAACAGCCTCCACCTGGGATGTTGTTGAGCTTTTGGCCCGTGGTTCAGCCCATGGCAGCTACACTGCTATGGGCACATGGTGACATGACAGACTGGTCCCCTTCCTGGAAAGGAAGGAAAGGGTCCTTCAGGGGCTTCCAGGAGGGTTTCAGCCCATCCCTGTCTCGCAGGAGTGCTCGGACCGCTGCTGCAATGCCACCACGTGCCAGCTGAGAGAGGGAGCAGAGTGTGCCCGAGGGGAATGCTGCCAGGACTGCAAGGTACTGCCGCCACCGGGGAGCAGCTCCGCAGGCTCTTGGGCAGGAGAAGAGCCGGTGCGAGCCCTGGAGGAGTGTCTGTGCTGTGCAGCGGCTCAGTCGGTAGCAGAGTGTCAGCTCTGGATGCAGGGGTTGCTGGGGACATTCCCAGAGCGGGATGCTGCTGTGCTGTGGTGCCGGCAGAAGTGAGAGCATCCGGGCAGTGCTGACACCCGGGTTCTCCGTGCAGGTGAAGGCTGCAGGCACGCTCTGCCGGGCCAGCAAGAACGACTGCGACCTCGCCGAGCACTGCAGCGGCCTCAGCGCCGAGTGCCCCGAGGATGTGTTCCAGGAGAACGGCATCTCCTGCCAGCACGGCAGCGGCTACTGCTACAACGGGGCCTGCCCTTCGCACGGCGAGCAGTGCCGGGCGCTCTGGGGCGCAGGTAGGGCTCCCTCCCCGCCCGTCCTCCTGCCCCACCTGCTGCGGGCCGTGCCCGGAGCCCCCCGGGCTGCGCTCCCTCCCTGCATCCCGAGCCGCTGATCCCCAAGCGGGCTCCGGCTCCGTGTGACCTTTCCGCGCGTCCCGCAGAGGCGCAGGTGGCTCCCGACGTCTGCTTCAAGCACAACAGCGAGCAGCACGTCCACCTGCACTGCCTCACCGAGTACGGCAAGCAGCCCTGCAGCCCCAAGTAAGGACGGGGGCGGCGGTGGGTGCCCCAGCGCGGCCGGGCCCCGCCCGCCGGCGCTCACGGCTGTGTCCCGCAGGGATGTCAAGTGCGGCACGCTGCTGTGCCTGAGCGACAAGAGCCAGCCCATCCTGGGCAGCGGCTACTACTCCTTCGGCTACTACTTCGGCCGCTTCAAGTGCAAGGCGGTGATCGCGGGCAGCGACGCCGGCGAGGCGGCCGAGCTGCGGCTGGTGCCCACGGGCGCCAAGTGCGGCGAGGAGATGGTGAGAGCCGCGCCGGGGCCGGGCCGGGCCGGGGCAGGGCGAGCGCCGGCCCCGGGCAGCCTCAGAGCGCCGCTGCCTGCCCGCAGGTCTGCTACGCCGGGCGCTGCCAGAACCTCCTGGTCTACGGCGACAAGAACTGCTCGGCCAAGTGCAACAACCACGGGGTAGGCGGCGGGACGGCCCCGCCGGGCTCCCGGGCCCCGCCGGGCTCCCGGGCCCGCGGCACAGACCGGCCTGACCGCGCTCTGCCCGCTCCTCGCAGGTGTGCAACCACCGCCGCGAGTGCCACTGCGAGCCCGGCTGGGCCGCGCCCTACTGCGAGCAGGAGATCTCAGGGATCGCCGCAGGTACGGCGCCGAGCGGGGAGCCCGGGGAGGGGCGGGCACCGCCCGGGGGTGCCGCTCCGTCCCCAGCGCCCGGTTTTGTCCCCGCAGGCAGCGGCAGCGCGGCGCTGGCGGCCGGGCTGGCCGTGCTGGCGCTGGCCGGCGCCGGGCTGGGCAGCGGCCTGCTGCTCCTCAGAGCCAGGGCGGCGCGGCGCTCCCACAAAGGGTAACTCCCGCCCCCGCTGCTCGGGGCTGAGCCCCACGGGCGCCCCGAGCAGCCCCACATGGTGCCTGTGTCCCACAGGAGCTCCAGCGGGACTCCCTCCGGCCTGGCCAACCCGCTGTTCCAGGAGGGCGGCCGGGCGCGGCCGTGCCGCCGCCAGCTGTCCCGCAGGGACATCGGCCAGCCCAGCCTGCTCAGCAGCACGGCAGCGCCGCGGGGCCGGGCACACAGCCCCGTGACGGCCCGGGCACAGAGCCCTGTGAGGGCCCGGGCACACAGCCCCGTGCTGGCCCGGGCACACAGCCCCGCGCCGGCCCCGCAGCCACCCGCCCCCGGCCCGCTGGGGCCGCCTCGCTCCCCAGCAGGCCCCGCAGCCACCCGCCCCCGGCCCGCTGGGGCCGCCTCGCTCCCCTCCGGCATGGGCCCCGCAGGTAACCACCCCTCCCAAAGCCCCCCTGTGCGGGCACATCCCGGCTGGGGGACCCTTCCTGTCCCGCTCCGGGTCCTGCTGGAGTCTGTGAGGCAGTCGGGTCTCTCCTCCCGGCAGGCGAAGCCGAAGCCGCCCAGCAAACCTCTGCCAGCGCTGAAGGGCAAAGTGCCGAGCCACGGCGAGGGCACGCCGGCACCGTCCCTTCCACCCTTTCAGCGGTGTCCCCCGCCCAAGGTGGCCCTGAAGCCGCCCCCTGCCAGGAGGTGACCAAGGATGCTCCATCCGCCACCGCGGCCGGCCGGGAGCGGCACAGCTGGGTGGTGGCACAGCTGGAGAGCCATGGTCTCGCTTCCACCCTTACTTGAATTGCCGGCCAGACCCTCAGACCCTGCCCGGGGTGGGCACCAGTGTTTACAGATCCTCGAGTTGTGCCTTAATGGACTCGGCAGCCTCACGGTCCAGCCGGGGCTTCCCAAGGAAACCAGGAGCGGGGACAATGCCAGCTCCGGCTTGGAGGACCAACCCACGTTGCGCCCTGGGAGCTGCTGCCTTCTCTCCCGACGTCCTGAATGTGTCCTGTCCCCCTGCCCTTCCCTGCCGGAGAGAGGAGCTCCTGGCACCACGGGGCAGAAGAGCACAGCGCCGTGGGGACCTGCCCCAGGGACATCACCCCGGGGGATGTCACCAGGGGCTGTGGCAGGTCCGAGCTGGGCTTGGCCTCCCCACGGGGCTTTTATCTCTGGAGTTATTCCTTGAGTGTTCAAAAGGGAATTCCCTGGGAGCCTTTTTACTGCAGCCATTTATTTATGACCCTTATGTGACCATTTTGAGCCACTTGCTGTAAAACCAGGCCTCCCATTTTTTGATATAATTGAGGTTCAAGGCTTTTATACCAATAAAGACTGAAGGAAGAGGTGTCATGGGGTGTGTCTGGGCAGGAGGGCACAGCGGGGTGGCAGCAGGCAGGGAGCTGTGCGGGGACCACGGAAGGGGAAAAGGGTGGAGCTGAGCTCCCCAGTCCAGTGCCAGAGCCACAGGGGCTGATGTGCAGCACATTCTGCCAGCCACGCAGAGCCAGGCTGCCCCAGGATGCTGCAGGGAGTCCCCTCATGCTCAGCACCATCCTGCCTGTGGCTGGCTTGGAGCACAGCTCCCAGGGTGGCACTCGCTGCAGCCGAGGACACCCACACCATGCAGTGCTGCTGCAGGGGACAGGCAGAGGGGTCCCCCACTTCATGTGCCACCAGCCCTAGGACACATAAAACCATCCCAAAAAATGGTAACAAAATAATTTTATTCTGCTTTATCAAAAGAACTTAACTGTGAATGTAAACCTGACCGGATGTATCGTGTTTCCTTAAGGAGATGCGCATCCAGGGGCAGACCCCTTTAGTCACAGGGCCACACAGGCCATGGGAGAGGAGAAAAAAGCCAGTTCCATCCCAAAATCCCAGCTGCAGCCATGTCCCTGCTCACAGCTGGGGCTCAGAGGGCAGTAAGGGTGCCAAAGCCGTGGCCAGCCCCTCCTGCACACACTGGGGCTGCTGCAGCAGGGGCTGGGGAAGCAGGGGAGGGGGCTGCTGCAGAAGGCACTGGGCATCACACATGCTGCTGCAGGAGCTGGGACCACGGGAGCATCCCCTGGGGTCCCTCAGACCACGTGGGGAGGTGGCTGATGCATACAGAGGGACACTGAGCCAGTGACAGCCACTGGAGGCAAAGTCATGGCGCAGGGAGGCACGGCAAGGCTGGGATCCAAAGGGAAGCAGCTCTTCCTGCACTGGCCTGGCAGGCTTTCCTGCTCCCTGCATGGACATCTTGCTCTGATCACTGCAGGGGAGCTGTCAACTGCCTGGTTATTGCTCCCAGCAGCTCCCCTCTGCCCTTGTCACTTCCAGGCTGGCAGAACCTACTCTGTCCAGCCACTCCTGATGGCCAGTGTGCCCAATCCCAGTAACACATGAAGAAAATCATGGAGACCACATTCCTGCCATCATTCCCTCCAGCAGTGCTTCTAGCCTATAAAGCCTGCCCTCATCCCAAAATCCAACCAAAGGGGTGCTGCTGGGGTGAGGGGAGGTCTGTGCCAAGGGACTGCCAGAACACTGAGGAGGTGGCAGGGAGAGATGAGACTACACTGCTCCATCAAAGCCATCCCACAGGAAAAAAAGAGACCCTGCAAGCCAAGCAGCACTTCCAGAAAACATTTCAAACACTACAGAACACACTGCCACCCCTCTCTGCCCTGGTGCCCTGGTGACTGGCTCCTGCCATGGCTGGGTTGGAAGAGGAGCTGGGATCCTGGAGCAGAGCATCAGCTGAGCCTTGGGAGTTTGCAGGCAGACAGAGGACAAGAAAGACTGCCTGAAACTGCTGCAAAGTCCCACAGTTACGTCTCACACCCTGCAGAAGGGGCAGGGCCAACACAACCCTGCTGTGCCCCAGAGATGGAGGAGAGCAGCCAGGACAGGAGCAGAGACAGCAGGAGGCACCGTGTGCTGCTGGAGACACTGCCACCCCTGAAACCCAGCCACACAGGGTGGGGACACAGCATGCAGAGCCCACACAGCTCCTCTGGGGACACCACAGCACAGGCAAAGCTGCTTTGGGTTGGATGTTTCTCAATGGCACAAGCTAAACACATCCCTCCCCTGGCCAGGAGGCTGCAGGTGGAGCCAGGGACAGAAGATCCAAACAGGATGAGTGCCAGGAGTGTCACCACCCCCCAGCCCCTCCAAGGCTGGCATGGCTGCTCTGAGGGGACAGGACATGATGCACAGGGAGAGCAGGTCTCTGAGCATGCAGCAGGCAGTGCTGGGGTGCTCCCAGCTGGAGGATGGCATTCCAGCTCCTGCCAGCTGCTTCCCCAGGTGTTGCACCCCAGATCCTCACAGAGCACGAGGAGGAGCAGGTCCTAAAAGCAAGCACAGACTCACAAGCAGGGGGAGGAAGGAGGGAAAGCAGAAAGCAGGTTTGTCCCAGCAGATTCCCCCCGCCCCAGGCAGCTCTCCCTCACCCTGCCACGGCACACCAGGAGCAGGGTGGGATATATCACAGCACAGATCAGGACACAAGATCCACCTGCCAGCAAGCCTGGCCAGGGATGAGAGGCTCAGGGACACACTCCTTGCCATGGCTGTTGAAGGACATACAAAGCAGCTGCCACTTCCTGGAGCAGTGGATTTTGCATGGAAGAGCAGCGATGCCTCACCTACTTTGCAGCTGAAGTGTCAAACATCTGCTCTGCTGCACAGCAGGGTCCTTTCACTCTTCTCTTCCCCTTCACTTTGCCAGCATGGCACAGCAGTGGAAACTCAGCCCTGGTTTTGGTGAATGACTTGCAGGGAGGGTGGAATCTGAGCAAAGACTTGCCAGGCTCTCTTCCCAAAGAGCTGCTCCGAGGTGCTCCTGAAAGTCTGGTTTAGGAGGCAGTGAGAACACCACAGTCAGTCCCAGGCAGCCAGTGCAAGGCTCTTGCTTGGAGAGGGGTCACACAATCCCTTCAGAGGTTGCTTCCTCCAAGTTGTTATCTAGCACTGCTGTCTGCAGGAATATCAAGGCTGTGCAGATCCTACTCCCATAAGCTATTCCACAGCAAACCACTCCTCGCCCCCAGCAGGAACAAGCTGGCCAAGGAGAGTCCACTCCACTGGAGTCCTCGAGGAGAGCGAGACCACGTCAGCAGAAACCTTCACCAAGCAAAGCTTCAGCAGCAGGATGAGGGAACCTCCTCTTCACTCAGCCTCAGCCAGGAGTGCTGAGCAATGACCAGTGTGCAGCAACACAGCACTCAAAGCCACATCTCCTTCCTGCAGAGCAACTCCTGCTAAATAACTGCACCTACCCCGGGAGGCTTTCCTGCTGTCTGTCGTTTAATATTCCAGTATAGGTATGTTAGTACAGGATTATCCCTCCTTTGGAAGCACCAATTTAACAGGGGGAGAAACAGAAGAGGCAGAGCCCTTGCAATCTGTTGCTAGAAGAAAATCAACCCAACTGCCACCTATACACAAGATGTCCAGGCAGGCAGGTGCTGCATCCGCCCCAGCGGCACAGGGCCTTGTCCCCGGGCACAGCCGGGCTCGCTCGGAGCTACACCGGGCTCCTTCTGCCTCCCTCAGCCACTGCTCTCCTCGCCTCGCAGGGGGCTTTCTCCAGGGCTCTCTGGGGTTTCCTGTGCAGGAAGGCTGGTTTGGTGGGCAGTCCTCAGGCCGGCCTGCTGGAAGGCACAGGAATCCAGGAACACGCCGGGGATGCGGTCGCCGAAGTACAGCTTGCTGTTGGCAGCTATGGCCTGGTACTTCATCAGCTCCAGATACTCAGGGGTCAGCTTCAGCTGCAAAAAACAGAAACCAGAGAGCTAAGAGACAACTTTCTGAGCCCTGCAGCATTACATTTCATGTCAGGCAGCCCCTCATGGGGTGTGGGCTGTCAGATGAAGCGTTTTCCCAGTGCTGACCACTTGCAGCTGAAGCAGTAACTTGCAGCTTCCCAGAGCTCACCTTGTTGGAGTCAGCCAGCTTCCGAGCAGTGTAGTACTCTGCATCAGCTTTTGCCTTCTCCCTTGCCAGGAATGCAGCATCTAACACAGCAGCAGAGGGACAGGAAAGGAAGCATTAGGAAGTGAATGGCCCCATATCACACTGAGCACCTGAGCCCTCACCCCACGGGGACCAGCTGACCCAGGAGTGCCCATGGCAGCCTGGCTGGCCCTGCACCTGCCCTGCAGCTTTCTGGAGTTCCATGCACAGGGAATGATCCCAGTGCACAGCCCTGCACCCCTGCAGCACCCTCGATGACTTCTGCAGGTCTGAGGTCACCACCCCAGCCAGCAGAGCCCCAGCAGTGTGCTCACCCTCAATCTCAGAAATCCGCTTCTCCGTTTCCTTCTCCATGATCTTCTGCTGGTAGTGGATCCTGGCCACCTGTGCAGCCTTCTCTGCCTCTGCAATCACAAAGGGCTCAGCTGGGAAATTCACTTCTCAGGCCTTGAGCACCAGCACCCTGACCCCAGCACCTGGCTGCAGGGTCTGCCACACCAGGAGCTGGCTCCCTGCTCCCTCCCTTCCCACTCAGTGCCAGTCCGTGCTCCAAGCAGCAGAGTTACAGGAAGAAAACACCATGCTGGTGTCTGCAGAGCTGACATCCTGTTTGGAAGTGTGATCCCTCTGGCACAGGAACATGGAGCTCCAAGCCCAAGCAGCTTTTCCAGCAGACTGATTTCCTCCGTCCCTGCTGCAGGACAGAGGTGCTCCCTGTTCTGCTGCTGTAGGATTGTCACCCAGATGTTCAAAACAACTGCTTGTGCAGCCTGGCTGAGCCTCCCTCAGGGAGCTGCCAGTGATGGAAGGCAATGTGCTGCCCAGCTTAGCAGGGGAGGCAGGAATGGAGGCTGAGCCCCTGCTGGTGCCATTACCTATGAGTGCTTTCTTCCTGTCTGTCTCTGCCTCCTTCTCCACCACCTTCTGCCTCTGGGCTGCAATCAGCAGCTTGGTCTTCTCAGCCTCCCTGCAAGGGCAGAAGTGTTATCCTGGGGAAAGGGAATGAGGAGCAGTATTGGGGTACACAAAACAGGGAGTTACTTTGGACCTTATTAGCATAAGAGATGTGATAAACAAAATGCCTTGGCAAGAGCAAACAGAACTTTGAGAATTAAATCAAGATTGCAAGAAGATTCAATTTCAGACTGGCTTACTGGAAAAAGAAAATTACATCAACTTCTGCAAGCAAAAGATGTTTAAAATGTGTAAGTTTGACTATGTGATGATTAACCCAATCACTGTAGTAAGACATTACCAATCTTCCTAGAATAAGTATATAAGCAGCTGTACTTCACAATAAATTGGGATTCTTTGACCATCTCAATGCCTTCCCCGTCTCTCCAATCACTGATAGAGCAGCTCTGCAGCCCAGGAGAGGCCACAGGGACAAGAGGCCAGCCAGCTGCCAGCTCCCTGCTCACAGCCTTGGGGACTGGCTGTCTGCACCGTATGAGCCCACACAGGCCAGAGGAAGGGATCATCCCCCTCTCCATCTGGCCACATCTGGATTCAAGTCCAGTCTGAGGCCCTCAGGACAAGGAGCAGGGCAATGTGGGCTGGGAGCTGGGCTTGCTCAGCCAAAGGTTGAGACCCAACAGCATCTCCTTCTACCCAAAGGCATCCCAGAGATCTTGGAGAGGAGCTTATGGGCAAGACATCAACACCCCTGAGTCCTGATTTCAGTATGGAAATGGAAAACAAAAGGCACAAGCACACCTGGCCAAGCACACACTGCCTGGAGCTCACCTCTCACTCCCTGAGCACCAGGGAAGAGCTTTCCAACAGCACTGTGCCTGTGCAGGACCCTCAAAAGCAATTAATGCAATTTTATGCCCAGCTACTCACATTAGCTCAAAGTTTCTTCGGATGGCCTCTGGAATTTTGGGTTTTGTAACACGCACGGCCTGTGAGAGCAGAAAAAGGGAGCACATTTCAAAGGAAACACTTTGATGCAATCTGAATAACCAAGACATCTCTCTGCAAAAGCAGCTGCAGTGCTGTGGACTGTGGTGCCTAATCCTCCTGTGCAACACAGCTGAGCATGGTCACTGTCCCAGAGGTGTCCCACATTCCCATTTCCTGCCATCCATTCCAACCCACACTCCCACCAGGGGCAGAGGCTCCAAGCCTCATCCAAGCTGGCTTTGGACACTTCCAGGGATCCAAGGGCAGCCACAGCTTCTCTGGGCACCCTGTGCCAGGGCCTCATCCCCCTGAGCACAAAACATTCATCTTTCAGTTTAAAACTGTTGTCCCTTGTCCTGTCACTGCAGGCTTTAGCAAAAAGTCTTTCTTCATCTTTTTAAATCTCTCATTATTGAGAGGTCACAACCCACCTGGATAGTGAGACCTGGTGCCATGACATTGAGGTCTTTCTGCAGGGCCAACTTCAGGTTCTCATCTATCTGATCTGTGTTTGGAGGACAAAAGAGAGACCAGCTGGTTTATCATGTTTTTCCCCACAGCTTGTGTGGCAAAGAGCAGCAGGCCTTGAAGAGCAGGTAACTCTGGAGTGTAAGATAAGGATGCCTCCTGAGACATTCAGTACATTGTTTCCCTTCCTAGGCCCCCTGAAAAACATTCCCAAAAGGAGACTCACGTGCTGGTGTCTAGTTCAGCTGGTGATGGATTTGTGTTATCTAAACTAAGTGCAAATGGCTTTCAGCAAGAAAGAATACTCAGAGCTTGTGGTAGAAGTCTATTCCCTCTTAGCACTTGGACTTGGAGTACATTAATATTAAAATTCTGACAACCTTTTATCTGCCATTTTTGCCCTGCTCAGCCACTCAAGAGGGAACAGAACCTGTTCTGTCTTATGGGGCACATGCCCACCAAGGAGAGTATGACCTGTGCTAATTCCTGAAGCTCTGCTACCTCCCTGTGAAAAACCTTCCAGCTCTCACTTGCTAGAGACAGCCAGAAGAAAGCTGTGAAAGTACAGGAGTGAATTCAGAAACAGAGTAGGGGATTAAAAGCAGAAGCAGAACAAGACAAATCCACTGTCACAGTGAAGGCCACAGGCATCACTGCACACACAAGAGCAGAGTGGCTGCTTTGTGCATCCTAAAAAAAAAGGTGGAAAAAGACTGAAATCAAATTCCCACATGCAGATGGGGAAAGAAAGAGACACCTGAGTCACTGAAGTTACAGGGGAAGTGGCAGATGGATGTAAAAGGAGCTGGATCCTACACT